TTTTATTATACTCAATACGGTGGGAAGTAGCACTATCATGAAGGTTGTTCATTTTGAGTATAAAGTAGGCCATCAGAACATGTCAGTAAGTATTTCTTCAGACATTTTTGTAGAGCTTTTCACTGCGCATCTTTAAAAAAAATAATTCAAGACTTTATCATTTATCTACGCCGAGATATGTGCGAAATACATCCTGCATCATATTGGTCGATTTCGAAAAATTTATCATCACATTCTCATGTTTATATTTTTATTATTATAAGGGCAGATGTTATTCAATAATATATCATTTGAAAGGCCGTCGTGAGTGCTCGAAGCTGATATAGACACATAATGGTTAGAGATTGTTCTGTGTGTCCATATAAACGAACTTTGTCGCGCCTCAAAACTTATGAAACACCCTGTATACACGCTTTGAAATGTTAATATGTTGAAAATGTTTACATTTATTCTACTAATTTATTAGATCGTTATACTGAAAACACTTTTTTCTATTGTCAGATGCATCACTAATATGTAACTTTGTTCTTCTAACGATAATTTATACGATATATGGCATAGAAAATGGCAAATATCATTTTATTTTTTGTTTCATCTCTTTGACCGATATATTGGCTTGCTATACACACGAATTTAAGGATTCAGTAAGCTCCTAAGTACACTATTTTTTTTCCGACGAATTCTGACATATACTGTTGAGTTACTACCATTCTACTGATTGACACTTACAAAAAGATCCTTCCTTTGCATAATACTCGAATGTGTTTTTATTGAAGAACTCATGCGAAATACAAGATAATCGTATATACCGGGTGTTCCAAGAGTTTTGCGACATTTTTTATTTCGCATTTATCTCGACTTGAGAAACTGATAAAATCTTGATTTTTTTCTTAAAAAATGCGCCGTGAAAAGTTCTATAAAAACTGTACAAAGAAATCTCTATTAGCTGGTTCTGATGGTTTTCCGATGCTTAATACGAACAACCTACATGATGGCGCTACGTCCCACCGTATTGAGCATTGTAAAAATATTTGAAAGACTTTTTCGTTTCGCAATAGGGATTTATTCATACAGATTGCCTAGAGCTTTTCACGGCGCATCTTTTTAATAAATAATCAAGATTGTATCATTTTCTCAAGTCGAGATATAGACAAAATAAAAAAAACTTATAACATCTGTTCTTTAGTTCTTCTTGCTCAATTGAAATTGTTCGTTCGTTTCTATTTTCTCACGGTCAATAAACATCGATATTGATCTTGCTCTTTTTATTCTTTTTTTGCGTATTAATTTTTCTATCGCATAGCTTATAATACGTGATACTGTTATCATTATATTTATACATAAGTAGTTTTTCTATTCATAGCAGAATGGTTATTGGTGGCATTCTCTTCTTCTTAATTCTTTTATGCTTTCATTCTCTTCTTAATTCTCTTCTTATTTCGTGTTTTCTTCTTCATTATTGAAATAAAATTGAACTCATGTTCAACAAAAATACAAAACTTACAGAAAAAAATCAAGATTTTATCATTTTCTCAAGTCGAGATAAATGCGAAATCAAAAATGTCGCAAAACTCTTGCGACACCCGTTATGTTTTTCAGCAATAGAATAAATAGATACAATAGTTTTTTGAACTTTCGATGCTTATAATAGATATTCGATTGCTTCTTTAGATTGTTTGTCATAGGTCGATGCAATATCCATGAGAATATTAGGAACGTAATGATTTTGGGAAGTTGGTAGACATTTTCTTGTCATTTCAAGTGATTTAAGATAATAATTGCGAGCAGTTTCTACGTCACCTTTTTTATCATATGTTTTACCAACTTGATGAAGACTCCAAGCCGTATTATGATGATCAGATGGTAATAGTTTTTGTCTAAGTTCTAATGCTCGACGATGATATTCAAGAGCTTTATCATAGTTCTTTTGATGTGAATAAATATCAGCAATATCAGCGTAACTAAAGGCATTCATGACATGATCAGGCATTAAATATTCTCGTATTCTTAATGCTTTTAATTGATATTCAAGAGCTTTTGTAAAATCTCCTATATATAAATAAACTCGTCCGATACTATTGTAAAATTGTGCAATACCAGGTCCTTCACTACCAGTTTCCTGCATTAAAATACGTACTGCTCGTCGATAAAAACCCAATGCTTGTTTATATTTTCCTTGTTTGAAATAAACTAAACCTTGATTATGAAGTACAAAAGCTGAATATTTTTTATCTGATGGATTAGTAAAAAATGTTAATTTAAATGCTTCTCTAAAATGTATCAATGCATTATCATATTCATGTATGTCTTTAAGAGCAATACCAATACGATTATGAATATAAGCAATATTTTCTTCACCAGGATGTTTTAGAAGATATTGAAGAAATTGTAATGATTTTTCAAATTTCCCCATTCTTTTTAATAGAGTACTAAGCATTATTCTTGAACCTTCCTCTTCCATTTGTTCTCGATTTTGTTCTATATATTTGTTTGCTAATTCTCGTCCTTCTCCAGTTGGTCTTAATTTAATAACAAATAATTTAGTATCACCTTCTTCTTCTTCTCTAACATTTTCAATATAAAAAATTGAACCAACATCAAATAAAACTTCTTCTTCCTTTTCAAAATTACTTAAATATGCTATATCAGCAAAGATAACTGAATCATTACAATCATTTAAATTACATTCAATTTCAAATAATAATGCCATTAAATCTGGCTGATTTCTGGGTGTATTAGCAAATGTAAGTGCATATGAACGATTACGACTAGTAGACCAATAAGCATTAGTTGCAATGAGTTTATTTATATTTTTCACTAAATTTTGTGCTTCAGTTTTATTAATTGTCGTACCACGATATAAATAGAATTTTTTTTCTTTTCCTCTTTTGAGTTTTTCATATTCTTGAGCAAGTTGTTTTGATAAATCAGAAATATAATAACGAAATATATAAAGTTGTTCAATATCTTCTGTTCTTAAAGCTTTATTAATTAATTTATAGATAAATGTATTACGTGTGTACCATTGAATACATTCATCTTTGTGATAATTTTGTTCAAATTCATCAATATTTTTAAGTATTCGATGATTATTTTTATAATATTGACGACAAGCAATTAACATTTCTTGTTTTGCTTGATCATCATTAGATAAATGTTTAATAACATCTTGAAATAATTGAAACCTATATAGAAGAATAAATTATAAAAAAAAACAGTCAAATTTGCATAATCAACAATACCAAAGAAATTCAGCTGATTGTTCAGATAAATTTCGAGCACTTCGTTGATGTTGATCATAAAAAGATAAAACTTCAATTGGACTATCTACATTTTCAACATGACTTTCAATAGATGTAAAAAATTCATTGGAATTATCAAAAATATTCACAATTTTATTATAATTATTATGTAAACAATTAAATTCATATCGATTCTGTGAAAAAATAAATATTGAATCTAATTGAATAAGATCAATAATATTTGAAAGAATTTTAAATGCATTATCACTTGATATTACAAGAAAAATCTTTTCATTCTTTACTGATTTAAGATAATCAATGCAGAAATCAATATTTGTGAAACAAATAACTAAATTAATCATTGTTCGAATATTTAACATAATTTTTTCAATATCATAAGTTTTTTTCATAACAGGGTCGAACCAGACGAGTGTTATTTTTTCTCTAATGTCATCTACATTTCTCATAATAGCTAATAAGTTCAGCTCTTATATATGTTGTGGTATGTTCAAACTTTGAAATATATGGCAATTCACAAGATA